TGCTTGGTGTTTTTTCAGATGGGTTTCATTGCTGGTTTTTAAAGCATAAAGGATACAAACCTGGAGATATTCAAGGTAAAGAGGGCAGAAAATTAGAAGCTCCTGATCACTGAGACATTAAAATGAACATTGCTGTGCAACTATGGTGTTGGTTACTGCTATTTCCATTCACAACATCTACCTTTTCTCTCCTCCAGCTGAAGCTTTAAAATATAGGTATCACTGCCAATTTTTTTTATCTATCAAGGTATTAGCTTTATAGAGTATAATTGACCCTAGTTGGTTAGTCAAGAAGGAGAAAGTGATGCAAGGTTTCCTGTTTATCCAGTCTTACAAAGACAGTGGAGCAGAATCTTTAAAGGCAAGTTAATCACTTCAGTATTAGATCAAAGCACATTGTCTACTCAATTATTACAAAGTATTGCAATCAGTGCAGTGAAAAGTTACCTATCAAACCATTATTTGCAAGAGATTGATACACATTCAAGAAAGGATAAAAAAAACCAACACAGAACAAAAGAATTATTTTTGTATGTCCGTGTATCTCTTCAGATGTTCTCCCAGAGAAACTGCAACCATGAGGTACAGCAAACAAAGTTGGATGAGGCCAAAGCTTCCCTTTCTTTAATAGCTACTCTTTTTAAATAGAGCCAAATTCTACCCTCTCTCTGGTTTAGTGGGGTTGCATGAAAGATGTCACAACAGAGTCAGAGTTATTCAAAAGGTTTCAGTGCAGAAGAAAAATCCAGAGGAAACAAAGAGGGTAAGTGTTTCTACCCAGATAAAACTCATTACTGAGAAAGAAATCATCAAAATCTGTCCTAGAAGTGAAGATATAAAAAGAAAAAAGGTATTATACAGGTGGAATTGTATGGTGGAGGATTAAGTCAAACAAGTTCTACTAAGACTGATATTTGCCAGCATGAGTTGAATTGGGTGAGGCTAAAGGTTTATCTTCAAAAGCATCTTAAATCTTCCAAACACCATCACTAAATATTCACATTAGGACTTTCTCTCTTTTTAAGTTTTTTTTTTAAAATTAGTTTATTTAGTCAAAAAAGCTGTGTATAGTAGGAGGGCTAAGTACAACCTCTTCCCTAGTGTGCTGAGTATGTTTGAGTGCAAAACATGCATTTAGCTTTTATTTCTTCATTTCCTAATCAAAAGGCATAATTTCACTGGGTAGGGTTGAAGTAATTTAGAATATTTTTTAGGGCTTCTGATATTTCAGACAAAATAACACCTCAGAAATGACTTCAACATTGAATAAAACAAAAGTATAATGTAGAAACAAACTCACATTTGGTATTTTAGCACATCTTTTCCTTTGAGTCTTCATCCAGCTCTGATTAACATTAGCTTCCATTACTTACCTCATTAGGCAGCACCTTCATCAGTGCTTTAAAAGTCTTCTAAGAGGTTATCTGGAGATAAAGCCTGCAGAAAATTCTACACATGGTAGGATTAACCATGGTATATGCTGACCATGCCCTTCTAAATATAAACTCTGGTTAGAGAAATGGAGAGGCTCTTCATGCACTACATTATGTGGACTCCTCTCTGTGACCTCCAGATGTCCTGATTCTCCCTGGCTCACCACATAATAGTCATGTAATACTAACCTTGATGGACTACATATGAATAAGAGGCTATTTTGAGGTTGTAAGTGCTTCAAATTGTAAGGTTCCCTGCACACTATCCCACAGCTGGCTTGGGAGGAGAATACTCAAGTCAATGTAATATGTATGCAGGAGTCTTTATGAAAGCCCAGGCTGTCCTCAGAGATCATTCTCCCTGTGAGGAGTATGCCTTGGAAATAAGCAAAAGACTTAGATCATTAGCAATGAGTTCCATGAAAGTGGCTGCTAAAGCATTAGTGTGTACCTCCACCAACAGCCAGACAGTCCAGGGTGCACCAGGACTGTCAGTGTTGAATCACAAGCAAAGCCCACCTGCTCCTCCCAGGGGGCCATAAACCCAGTGGGTGTCTCCCAGGCAGCCAGGCCACAGCCCAGAGCTCCCTGAGGCCTGAAAGCCTCCCACATCCCTGAACGTGGGGAGGCTGCAGCAAACTCAGAACGTGTCAAACGAGCCCTGCTGCTGCTGCAAGGCCAGCAGTTCCCAATCAGCAGTGGATGCTGTCGTTCTCTAGACACCATCTGTTGCAACAGCTGCTGGTGGCTTTCCAACAGCCTCTTTAGTGCAGGTTTGAAACTGATTGCTCTCAGTCAACCACCCCTTCTTATCTAACCTTCATGAGAGAGACTGAAGATCATGGTCACTCTGGCCCTCTACCACAGGGCACGCAGTGGCATTGACTGGCAGTCTCACTGCCATATGGGACTGAGACAGGATCACCACAGCCCTCCTGGGAGTGCCTGCGTGTGTGGTGGGCTGGGAGCAGGACAGGGGTGGGTGTTGTTTAGCAAAGAGCCCCCTCCCCACTGCCTGCCTCTGCAGGGATGCAGCGCCCAGTCCAGCATCTGGCCTGTCTCCCTGTGGCCTCTCTAGTGGAGAGCAGCACCATGAGAAGCCTGACCTCTACCAGAGGCAGAGCAGTTTCCAGTAATCCCCAAAAGCCTTTCCTCTCCCGAAATCCCACACTTCAGAGCCCACAAGGAGCTGGGCCCTGCTCACTCCTGAGGCTCCCTGCAGGCAGAGCCCTGTCAGTCCCTCCCCAGGGAGTGTCTGCTTGCTGTGTCCCTGCACTCCAGCATGCACCCCCTCTAAAAGACACAGGTACCAGAGCATATTAGGCCTGCGGTCTGAAAAATGTCTTTTGTTTAATATTTTGCTCCCTATGTTGGCTTCTCAGCACTGTTCAGTTATGCTTATTTTCTTAGCAGGTCTCCTATGTAATTTTTATAAAGATTATAAACAGTGTCACCAGTCTGCCCTACTTTTTAATGAAAAATGCATTGAAAATCACTTTCAGCAGTACACTTTTAAGACTTTATTTCTACTAACTTAGAAAACTTATTTCTGATTGCCCCCTTGTTCAGAAGATTTTTCACATTGTTGTGATTCACTACCAAATAGAAGATTTTAATGAGAATCTTTGGACAAAGCATTCTAATTACACTTGACCTCAGTTTATGTCATGTGACCATGCACGTATCTGAATATCACCATGTAAAATGCACTTTTGGCAACCGAGAGCTATTGGATATTTAAGACTATCTGAAAACAAACAAAAAGGAAACACGTTGAAGCAGCAGAGAGCAATCCCTTAGTCTGGCTCCTACCTGTATCTGCATTACTGGTGCAGGTGCATTAACCTTTTATTTCCTTCAGATGCCTTAAGGAAAAGTAACACCCGTACAGCGCTTTCCCCCGTATTTTTAAATTCCGATTATGTAACTGTGCTGCTTGCATAACCGCGACAATAAGTGTAGGATTTGTCCAAGGATCAACACGGAGCAGCTCCTGCCAGCCGTTCCCGAGTGTCCCTCCCAGCCGCCCCGCTCGGAGCGCGCAGATAAGGTGGGTGCCGTGTGTGTCAGTGACGCTCACCCCATGCAGCCCGGCCGGGAAGGTTTAGCCTAAAATAACGTTTGCATTCACTGCATGAGATAATGTCACCAAAGAAATCAGGTCTCAGCGGCCTTACCGAAGCACACAGGACAGACCGCCACCCAGCTGCCACCCGTCCCCTGTCTGGGGGTACTTCCCCGCTGTGTCGCGCCGCCGGGGATCCCCCAGCGCCGCGGGTCCATCTCCCTTTT